AATCCCACGCCTTTGGGAGGCTGAGGTGCGTGGATTGCCTGAGCCCGCGGGTTCGAGACCTGCCTGAGCAGCGAGACCTCATCTCTACAATAAATCCAAAAAAAAATCATCCAGGCGTGGTGGGCATGCCTGTAATTCCGGCTACTCGGAAGGCTGAGGCGGGAGGATTGCCGGAGCCCAGCAGGTCGAGGCTGCGGTGGCCAGGAGCGGCCACTGCACTCCAGTCTGGGCAACAGAGTGAGACTCCAACTCAAAAAAAAAAAAAAAGTCAGCTGGGCTCGGTGTCTCAGCCGTAATCCCATGCCTTTGGGAGGCTGAGGTGAGTGGATTGCACGAGCCCGCAGGTTCGAGACCCGCCTGGGCAACTTGGTGAGACCTCATCTCTACAATAAATCAAAAAATTCATCTGGGCTCGGTGGCTCAGCCTATAATCCCATGCCTTCGGGAGGCTGAGGTGAGTGGATTGCCTGAGTCCGTGGTTCGAGATCCGCCTGGGCAGGCGAGACCTCATCTCTACAATAAATCAAAAAATCATCCAGGCGTGGTGGGCATGCCTGTAATTCCGGCTACTCGGAAGGCTGAGGCGGAAGGATCGCTGGAGCCCAGCAGGTCGAGGCTGCGGTGACCGGGAGCGGCCACTGCACTCCAGTCTGGGCGACAGAATGAGACTCCAATTCAAAAAAAAAAAAAAGTTGTAGAAATAGGTAGGGGGCGGTGGCTCGCACCTATAATCCCCACATTTTGGGAGACTGAAGTGAAAAAATTGCTTGAGCCCAAGAGTTCAAGACCAGCATAATGAAATTTCATGTCTAAAACAAATAAAAAATTATCCAGATGTGGTGATGTGCAGCTGTCATTCCAGCTACTTGGGAGGTTGAGGCGGGAGGATCGCCTGAGCCCAGGAAGTTGAGGCTGTGGTGAGCCGTGGCCCTGCCACTGCACTCTAGCCTAGGTGTCAGAGTGAGACTTGACTCAAAAATTGATAATAATAAGCCAGGCACAGTGGCTCAAGTCTGTAATCCCAGTCCTTTGGGAGGCCGAGACGAGAGGATTGCCTGAGCCCGTGGGTTCATGACCTGCCTGGGCACCATGGTGAGACCTCATCTCTACAATAAATCAAAAAATTAGCTGGGCGTGGTGGTGTGCACCTGTAGTTCCAGCTACTTGAAAGGCTGAGAAGTAAGGACCGCCTGAGCCCAGCAGATCGAGGCTGAGGTGGCCGTGAGCGTGCCTCTGCCCTCCAGCCTGGGAGACAGAGTGAGACACTGACCCAAAAAGAAAAAACAAAACCAAATAATAAAATACAAAAAGAAAAGTTGTAGAAATAATCTTAAGTGAGAATGATGAGGCTGACTTCGATCATGACAACTGGAATTGTAATTTTTCACTTTCATTTTCCCAGTGGGAGAGGTGATATAACCCACCTCTTCCTGATATAACCCAAAGTACTCATCTTGTCTAGAGTTTTAGATTTGAAATCCCTGAGTTTTGCATTTTATCCTCAAACGTATCCATATTTGTTTTTGTTTGTTTCTCTTTTTTGAGTTGGAGTCTCACTCGGTCGCCCAGACTGGAGTGCAGTGGCCGCTCCCGGCCACCGCAGCCTCGACCTGCTGGGCTCCAGCAATCCTCCTGCCTCAGCCTCCAAGTCATTGGAACTACAGGCACTTGCCACCAAGTCCAGCTAATTTTTTGATTTATTGTAGAGGTGAGGTTTCACCAAGCTGCCCAGGCTGGTCTTGAACCTGTGGCCTCAGGCAATTCTCTCACCTCAGCCTTCCGAAGTGCTGGGATTATAGGTGTGAGCCACTACTACAACTTTTAACCTGATTTTTCTTTTTTTGAGTTGGAAACAATGAGATGAGAGAAGAAAGTATTAGAACTTTTGTTTATATTTATTGTATGTAAAAGTAAATTTTAATGTGAGCGTTTTCAAATAGGTACAAGATAATAATTAAAGGCCGGGCTTGGTGGCTCAGCCTGTAATGCCGCGCCTTTGGAAGGCTGAGGTGAGTGGATTGTCTGAGCCCGCGGGTTCAAGACCCGCCTGGGTAACTTGGCGAGACCCCCATCTCTATAATAAATCAAAAAATTAGCCGGGCATGGTAGCGTGCGCCTGTAATTCCGGCTACTTGAAAGGCTGAGGCGGAAGGATCGCCGGAGCCCAGCAGGTCGAGGCTGCGGTGGCCGGG